GTAGTTTTGCTCCGCGCCCCTGAGAGCCCGACTGATGTAATAGACCGGCCGTTGGATTGAGCCATCTTCTCTGAGGAGAGCTGCACTGGATGCGGTGCTCGATACTGCTAAGTAGAGGAAGAGGGGTTCGCCCGTGATTTCTTGGGAAAGAAGGGGAGGGTTGGCCATGCATTGTTTTAACTGTTGGAAGGCCTCTTCGGATTCAGCTGTCCATTCAAAAGTCTGCCGAAGAACTTTGAAGAAGGGTAAGCACTTATCTGTTGCACGGGAAATGAAGCGGTTGAGGGCCGCCACTCGGCCGGTGAGTCTTTGAACTTCTTTGACCGTCCTAGGCGACTGCATCTCAACCAAGGCCTTGATCTTCTCAGGGTTAGCTTCAATGCCGCGCTGACTGACCATAAAGCCCAAAAAATTTCCAGACCCTACGCCGAAGGCGCACTTCTCTGGGTTGAGCTTCATCTAGTACTTGTGCAAGGTGGCGAAGGTCTCGCGTAAGTCAGTGAGGTGATCGAAGGAGTATTTGCTTTTGACTAGCATGTCATCGACGTAGACTTCCATATTCCGGCCTATTTGGTGATGGAAAACGGCATTAACCAGCCGCTGATAGGTGGCCCGAACATTCTTCAACCCGAACGGCATTACACAATAGTGGTAGGTACCTCGGTCGGTAATAAATGATGTGTGTTCCCGATCAGATGTGTGCATCAGGATTTGGTTGTACCCAGAGAAGGCATCCATGAAGCTGAGCATTTGATGACCGGCCGTGGTGTCGACCAGCAGATCTATGCGGGGAAGGGGGCAGCTGTCTTTGGGACAAGCTCGGTTCAGGTCAGAGTAGTCGACACAGAGTCGCCATTTGCCATTGTGTTTGCGGACGAGGACCACGTTGGACAACCATCTAGTGTAGTCCACATTTTTGATGAATTGGGCCTCGAGGAGCTTGTCAACTTCTGCGGCTATAAGAGTGTTGCACTCTGGATGGAAAATGCGTTGCTTCTGGCGGTGGGGTCGAAAGTGGGGTTCGATGCTGAGGCGGTGGGTTATGAAGGAGGGGTCAATGCCTGGCATGTCAGAGTGGGTCCAGGCGAATACATCTCTGTGCACGGTCAGGAGAGCGGTAAGGTCGGCCTTGGCTTGGGAAGGTAGTTGGCTGCCAATTTTGGCGGTTTTGATTGGGTTGGTGGGATCAATGTTAACTTCAACAAGTTCCTCCACGGGTTCGCCTCTGACCATCTCGTCCTCGTCTCGGACGTCAAGCCCTGCAATGATTATGGCCTCTTTTAGCTTGACTTCTTTGAGTGAGCCGACATAACACTCCCTGGCCACGGTCTGTTCTCCTTTGACAGTTCCGATACCGAGATCGGTAGGAAATTTGATGGCAAGGTGATAGGTGGATGTGATGGCTTGGAAGGCGTTTAGGGCTGTGCGGCCAAGGATGATGTTGTAAGCAGAGGGGCAGTCGACCACAAGGAAGGTGAGCAACTTAGTGGTCTGCCGCGGGTGCTCGCCAATGGTGATAGGTAGATCGATGGAGCCGATGGAGGTCACACGGTCGCCGGTGAAACCGACCAGAGGGGTTTGGAGAGGAGACAAGCTTTCTTCCCCAATCTTGAGTTGGCGGAAGCAATTGAGGAAGATGATGTCTGAAGAGCTGCCGTTGTCTATGAGGACTCGTCTGACCTTGTAGTTGGAGAGGATGGCGGAAATGACAAGGGGGTCATCATGTGGGTAACGGACTCCGGCACAGTCGGTGTCTGTGAAGGTGATGGGTTCGATCCACTGTTTGGACTGTTTGGGAGGTCTGTCCACCGTCGCCACTGCTTTGTCTGAGCCCTGCCTGATTTTTCTAAGTTCTGCCTTCTGAGCTGAGCGGAATGGTCCCCCGCAAGCAAGGCCGCCTGAAATGACTCTGATTTCGCCGACTGGTGGAGGGGGATTGCCTGGAGGTCGAGGTTGTGGTGGTGGGCGATCGTGGCCTTGGTTAGGTGGGGCTTGATTGCGGGGGGGTGTATGTCGGCGATTTTCCTGGGAAGGTCGGTTCTTTGCCTCTGTTGAGAGTGGGTGTCTGTGAATCGGCTGAGGCGGCCCTGACGTATGAAGGTCTCGATCTGATCTTTGAGGTTGATACACTCGTCGGTGGTATGGCCATGGTCTTGGTGGAAACGGCAGTACTTGGACTGATCTTTGCGATTGGAAGGGTTTTGTGAAGGCAGGGCCCACTTGAGGGGGTAGTCCCGTTGGATCTGATTGAGGACGTGCTCCATGGGGGAGTTGAGAGGTGTGTACCGCTCAAACCGACCGGGCGGTCGGGTCGGAGTCGACCGGTCGGCTCGGAGGGGTCGGTCATTATAGTGGGGTGTTTGGCTATTATACTGGGCGGTTCTGGGTTCTGAGTCTTTCCTCTTGTCTCTGGGGGTCGGATTTTTAGGGGTCGGCTCTTGCCGAGCGGCCAGGGAATCTTCAGCATTCATGTATTTCTGGGCTTTGGATAGTAGGGCTGCCATGGTGGTTGGAGGGTTTTTGGAGAGGGAGAAAAGAAAATCGGACAACCGCAGGCCGGCCATGAAAGCAGTGAGGATGACCTTGTCGTCATTCTCTGCTACTTGAAGGGCTTCGGTGTTGAAGCGGGTGACGAAGCTGCGGAGCGACTCCCTCTCAGTCTGACGAATGTTAAGGAGTTGGGTGGCTGGGCGCCGATAAAATGCTCAGGAAAGAGTCACTGAGGTGTTGAAAGGTGGAGACGGAGTCCGCCGGTAACTGGCTAAACCACCACCGAGCTGATCCCTCAGTGTCACTGGAAAAGCTCGGCACAATGTCTCATCAAGGAAAGCATGGAGGATCATGAGGGCGTAGGTTTCCAGCATGGTGACGGGTCCGTCGTGCCATCGAAGGAGTCAATGGTAGGCATTTTTGAACTTGGCGGGCAACGGTTGTCCGCGGATGGAGGCAACAAAAGGCGAGTTGGCGGTGACTGAGGGTTGTGCTGAATATTCTGCATGACCCCTTGTAGTTAGAGTTTCATAGCTCGGAAGTTCACACGTCACAAGAGACAGGAAAAATGATGACCAAAGGATATAAGCAAGGATAAGAGGAAGAAAAAGGAGGTTAGGTTTCTCTCTCTCTTGATACGGGCATGAAGGTGGAGGTGGTAGGCTCATATGTGGAGGAGGAGGGGGTTGTAAACCTTCTGGGTTGAGCGGAGGGGGTTGTGGAGCAGTGTGGCCCGGGGTTCTTTCTTGGTTGGGTGGAATGTCTAGAGGTGGAGCGGGGAGGTTTCTTTGGAGTAAAGCATTGATCAGGGCCTGGTTTTGCTCGGCCATGCGGTTAATACTGTTAGTAAGTTCGATGATGTATTGTGGTGGGTTGTTTGGATGGGAAGGGCCTGTTTGATGATCGGCGGTATTCTGGTGAGAAGCCATGGACCTAGTCGTTACCATGCACCTGGACGGGTGAGAGGAAAAGGTAACGGTGAGAAAGGAGGGCTCCGGCGATAGTGAACACAACTAGCGCACGAATAAACCACAAGGTTTCCCACAGACAGCGCCAACTGATAATGTAGTTCGTCCTGGGTAGATGGGCTGGGCTGGTCCAAGCTCCTCAAGTTTCGATTCAGGCGGATGACTCCTCCAGATAACCTACGAACAAGTCCAGAGGGGAACGGGGAAGTCCCCCAGTGAACCCTTTGGCGAGCGAATCAGTAGAGGAAGAAGGAAAATGTAGAGAGAGAGAGAGAGATAGAAAAACTTAATCTTTCTCTTGTCTTCCATTCTTGCTTATATCCTTTGGTAATCATTTCACTGTCTCTTGTGACGTGCCCCCTTCCGCCGAAAGCCTGTGTCGTAGCTTACCTTGTTCAGGGTGAGGGGGCTCTGTTCCGACGGGGAGGTGTTGTTGTAATAAATGATGTGATGGGCTGCATTAATGGTGATGTGTTGTAGCAATAACTCTGCAGATCTTTATCTGCTGATGTGGCCTGTGTTCCACCTGCCATGTGTCCGAATGCCATTGGCCCTCCATGTCCAGATGGCTTCCAGTTGTCCTGGGCTTTGCCAACCGGGTTATGCTATGGGTCCCAAGCGATGGGTTTAGGGTGGTTTGCTGTGGGCCGTAAGCCTTGTGGGCCTATCCATGTCAACAACAATGCTACATTCACACAATTTTTCCTCCCGAATCACCCCCGAATATGTTTTTGATCGGTAAAAAAATGATTTCTTATTGGTCAGAATCATTTTCTTAACAGTCAGAAACACATTAGGGGGAGAAGATTGTGTGGATGAATAATTTTTTATTTTAAAATTAAGTTTTAATTTGTAAGTTATTTAATATAATGATATTAAATGTAAATTGTAGGTTGAATCTTAATCAACTAAATCATTTAACTAATTTTTTCATTATTCAAATTAAAAATAGATATTCTTTTACAAACGTATCCAGCCACACCATTACAGTACTTTTTTTAGATTTTACCATTTCGACATACCCGTACCGTACCAGGACCAATATTTGTACATGTGCTTCATAGGTTGCAAATTATTCACTACTTCACCTGTGAGCAAACAACTGAACCATCTGAAACATCAATTGATCTTTTGATATCTGAATAGTGAATTTGTAATACTCCATTAAGCAATCTAATGAAGAGGTATCAACCCTAGAAATAAATAGTGTACTGAGCTCGAGTTCAATTCTAGACTTTACTTTATGAATATATATCTTTCTATTTGTTTGATTATCCACATTGCTTCATTGTTTTCAATTCCAATTCTACTATCTCCAAAAGTTCAATCCTAGATCTTGAGTGCTTCATTGTATTAGGCTTTGATTCTTGATTAGCAAGATAAGTGGTATTCATCCTGTTTGGTTGACTTTTCATAATCTATTTTCTGTTTTTTTTTCCCCTCGAAAAAATAGAAACTATTTTGATGAAAATAAACACAAAGAAAGTTAGGTCATTAACTCATAATATTCTTCTTTATAATACTTAATTTTACCTTGTGCAGATGCCAACATGCCTTCGAAGGTGTACTTCACATCTAAAAAGTAAGTCATAACTCGTAAGGGTAATTTTTTTAGAATGACTAATACTTAAATGTACATTCCGGTAGTGAACTAAAAACAGCTTATTCTTTTGTTAAGCTATTGCCAGCTTTGGGAGATTTCTAGCATGCAAAAGAAGGAAGCTGAAGACTTGTCTTGCTTCTCTTGGAGAGAATTTGCTCTATTGGTAAGACCTTCACATCAATGCTTTATTTACAGCTCAAGTAGTACATTCTTTGTTGTCATCTTACCCTGTTTATCTATCTTTTTCAGGGAAGTTTAGATTGAGAATTTCCTCGATCTGACATCTGCACGATAATGTATCCAAGTGGAACGACAGGAGAACGTAAAGATGTTTTAACTAATGGGACGATCATGGCAGAAGTTTGTCTACAGATCAACGGCTATTTGAAACAAAGAAAGTGGTAATGATTAAATTTCATATCTTTCATGTTTCAAAAGTTACTGATTTCGAACCTTGCTCTGAAATTTGAACCTAAGAAGAAATCTTTCTGCTTCCCTTTGTAAGAAGTAACTTTGAGCGTTGATTGTTGGTGTGTGTATGGTTTTGATCATAATCATCTCTAGGATTTCATTCCCAGTATATCAGATGTAACAACCAATGTTAACAAATATGTATGAAATTTACACAAGTATGCAAGATAGTTTTGTGTCCATATTAAATGTGTAGCGTCCTCATTGGTCATCAAAGTTCTTCCAAGATTTGAATCTCTGCACTTGTATTGACATGTGTCCTAGTTGAAATCAGGGTATGATTGGAACTTTTCTATAATGAAGGTTTCAATATAAACTAAATTGTTCTCAATGGCTTAACATGGTGGCTTCATACTCAATTGCAGATTCCTGATATGTTAGTATTATGTCATGTTGAAGGGACTCGTACCCTCATTCCAAGGTACTTTTATGCTTGACTTTGTCCTCATTTGGCAAGTGAGTTGGGTTTAGATTGGGATTAAAAAAGCATAAAAAGACAAAATAGGTTAAATAAGCCAATAAGATAAAATGTCATATTCAAATCATAATCATTTTACTTCTTTTTTTTTTCACAAAAAAACAAAAAAAAATCAAAATAGTTCTTAAACGGAGCTAATTAGTCCGGCTAAATTAGCCAAAAAAATTAAAAAGTCAAGTTTAAAAAATTCTTTTCAAACGAACCCCAGTCTCAATGCGATTCCTACTGAGTTTTAACTAAAGGGACATGGAACAATAATATTAGGTTTGAATTTGGCATTTTGAGGTTTAGTTCTTTTGTGTTGATGTTTGTCTCTATTTGACCACTTGAGTGTGTTGCTCTTTGTTGACAAAATGAGGTTCATTTAGATTTGGTTACACAGACTAGCTATAGTGTAGTGGTATCGTTTAGTCGTGTGGATTGAAAAATGAAATTTTATGTGTTTACAAATAAGGTCCTTAACTTGTTATAATTGATGAAAAGATAAGTTTGGGATAAGAGTGGAATTTTTAAAAACATTTTGATAAAAGTTTGATGAAAGGTTGCAGTAGTTCATATCATATCTGTACGGGGAGCAAATATTCCGGCGTGCCCGTATTCCTTTCTTCCGAGCTCCGTCGAAGTCCGATCACCTGCGAGCCAATAAGGGTGAGCTACCCGGCGGTGTGTGGCCGGAAAAACCCTCCGACGGTCAAGTTAGCACACACCTTAGAGGGAATAGAGAGAAGGGAGAGTGTTTGAGTGTAAGAAATTCCTTACAGAGTGTTCGTCTGTCCCGTATGGGGGGTGCAGACATTCTTATATACCTTCTGTGCCCCATATCCACTCCCTGTCATCTCCTGACACGTGGCTCTGCTATCCCATCTGTCAGCATAAACCATGCCGTTCATCACCTGCTCTCAACTGCCTGCCAGCATAGCTGGAGCTCGGCAGCCGAGCTGCCCTACCTCGGTCATACCATGCTTCATACCTTAAGCGCCTGACCGGGTAGCCGAATGAAGGACCGGGCTAGGCGGCATCTCGGCAAAGCTTAGCCCGGGCTCCTCCTTTGGTCGGTCTTCTCGCCGGTCAGTCAACTACCTCGGCTGACCGCGCCTTTCCGAGCGCCGGCCTCTCGGTCTGTCTGGTCTCGACAATCCTCGGACCGAGCATCCCGGTCTGACCGGTCACTTCCTGGCCGAGCACCTTCTGCACGGTTCGGGGCAGCACACAGTCCAAACTCTGCCCGGCCCAAGTTCTGGTAGCCCATCTCCGGGTGATCAGTCGATCATCTCGGCCCAATGCTCTGCTGGGCCCTCAACCTGTTCGGTTTATACCTCGGCCCTACGCCGGAGCATAAATCACCCTCTCAATATCAAACTCAACTTTTTACTCAAATTTGAAATGAAAATAGATATTAAAAAAAATAGATGATGGTTCTAAGTTCTAACACATTCATTAAATGTTCATCAAATCAAGGGAAATATATATATATATATATATATTTATTATCAAATTTGATGAAATGATACATTCGGAATAATAAGAACAAAAATTTTAATTTTTTATGAAAATTTGATGAGAGAACTGAAGTAATTCGAATCAAATCAAGTTTTTTACTCAAATTTTAAATCAAATTAGATGACAATCTCTAATGCCTGCCAAATTGACAACGGTAATCATTCAATTTGGTTTTGAGTTTTCAAAAATGTTTTTAAGTTTTTATTTTTTGTATTTTTTTGTTTTTAGTAATTTTTTTCTTCATATTATAGACAATGTTTTTTTTTTTTTACTTTTTAAATACGTCATATCTAAATATATTAATAAATTTGTGAAAAAATCTAAAAAGAATTCAATAAATACAAAAAATTACCAAAATGTGCTTTATTTTTATATTTTTTATTCAATAAATTTAGTAAAAATTTTAAATATTCTTAATTAAAATATTACAAAAAATTCAGTTTGAAAAGTCCAAAACTTTTTTGAAAAATCCAAAAACAGGAAGATTTTCATTTATTTTATTAATCTAAAAGACACTAACTTTTTTAACTTGCACTATAGTCTTCCTCCAAAAGATTCACACTTTGACGCTTCACTCTCTTGCTGCTTTCCTCATCTGAATCTATGGTTCCAAACATCTCCATGGAATCACAGGTCCTCACTACCCTTTTTTTTCCTCTTTCTTTATATTTATGATTTATTATTATTGCCATTGAAAAACAGCTTTAGTTTTGTATCGTCTGTTGCTTTTTTTTTTTCTTCCTTAAAATTGAAACTAGATTTAAAGTGTAGAGATCAAATTGTTCAATTTGAAATTATAGGGATCAAAGTAAAATTAAATTAGGATCAAACTACTAGGTTTTAAAATGTAATTAACCCTTTTTAATTTATTCATTTTTCAATGATTTTGTAGACTTTATCCACAAAAAACTAATTGAGATATTTTAATTTGTAAAAAAAAATTGAATAAAGGGCACAGACGACGAAAATGGACCAACAATTTGAAACAGAGGGAGAATTAAGCAAATATGACTATTATGGACATGAGGATTGGATGAACTGGACACTTATACAATGCCCAACCAACTTGTGTCCATGTAACATAGTTAGATAGGTACCTATGTATTCCTGAAGGGAAATGTTGCATGGTTCAAGTCAAATTGGTTGTCACAAATTTTAATGTTTTTGTTTGGTTAGAAAGGAACTCTAGGAAATTGAGAACATTAATAAGATTTGGATTGTGAGGGAACAAAGAGCTCTACTTAATCATGCTCCCTGGGTTTTTATCTCTCTGAGTTTGCATGCACGTAATAGTGATTTTTTGCAAAGCTTAGTTGTAAATCAAAGGGTTGGGTACCTCATCTTATTATTTCTCTATGGAGATAATTTTATCATCCACATGTATGTAGGTAAATGGGCAATTTAATAAGAGAACTCAAATCGAATTGATATATTAATACCCAAGCTCTTGAAATTGAAATAAGGTTCACAACGGATCACAAAATCTTGGAGATATTTTCTATCTAACGAATGGAGAGCTAAGTATGTTCTTCAACAGAATCACACAAAAATAAATTAGAAACTTCTATTTCCCGTTTGGTAACGTTTATGTTTTTTTGTTTATGTTTACAAAAATTTTATAAATTGGTTTTTCTTTATTTTTAGAAAAACATAAACTACAAATGCGTTTGAATTGAACAAAATATTTCACATGTATGTAGGTAAATGGGCAATTTAATAAGAGAACTCAAATCGAATTGATATATTAATACCCAAGCTCTTGAAATTGAAATAAGGTTTACAACGGATCACAAAATGTTGGAGATATTTTCTATCTAACAAATGGAGAGCTAAGTATGTTCTTCAACAGAATCACACAAAAATAAATTAGAAACTTCTATTTCCCGTTTGGTAACGTTTATGTTTTTTTGTTTATGTTTACAAAAATTTTATAAATTGGTTTTTCTTTATTTTTAGAAAAACATAAACTACAAATGCGTTTGAATTGAACAAAATATTTGAAAATTTTTAAAAACATAAACTAAAAAATATGTTTGTTTAGACTTAAAATATTTATATTTATTTTTTATTATTTATGATAATGGAATCATACACATTATAATTGAAAAAAAAAATTAATTGGAAAAAATAATTGAAAAAAATTATTTGAAAAAAAATTAATTGAAAAAAAATTTTGTTAATCAAATTTTTAAATTTCTGTTTGAAAACCAATGTAAACTCATTTTTTGAATTTACGTTTTTTTCTCAAATTTAAAAACTGAGACAACCATTTATAAACTAAAAAAATTATCAAACAAGTTTTTATGATAATTGTTTAAATTTTTATAAATATAAATCAAAAACTAAAAACGAAATGATTACCAAATCCTTAATGAAATGCCTACACTTAACAAATAAAACGCACCAAGTTGACCTTTTAGGAATTGCACTCTCACGATAAAATCCTGGCCTCGACCTAAAATATATGCAAACCAAAAATAAAACACCCAGGAGCATTTTCAATTTTTTACTAAATCCCTCATTAAATTTACATTTGATGAAAATGGATCAATCCATTCACCAAAGTTATATCAAATCAAATTTTCATAAATAAAAAAAATTCATCAAATGAGAGATGAATCAAATATTTCATAAAATTTCAACAACATTTTTTTTTACTTAAATTTGATGAAACTGTTGAAAAAATGAAGGATTGGAGATGAATTTTTTTTTTTTTTTTTACCTGAATTGATTAAAGAGGTTTTTTTAAAAAAGATATGTTAGGTATTTTTTTAAAAAAAATACTTGAGTCTCACCATTGGGGTGACTTATATCAAGTCAAGTCAAGCATTGTTAAACAAATTTAATAAAAAAGAATGAACCGTTTCAATTATTAACTTTTTTTTCTTATCAAATATAAATTTGATAAAAGAAAATAGTCAAAAAAATATCTCCGTCATTTTATCAAATGAA